TGCATAAATTTAGTCTTTGAAAGTAAGCCATGCACCTTTTATGAAGGACTTTTATCCAAAATGCTAGAAATTTTAAAGGAAATTAATCATCTTAATTTCTAAAATTAATAGGTGCAAGATTTATTCCTAAATCATGGATACTCCTTTCTAATTAAATTCAAATGTGTTTAATGCATCTCAGGAGTGTTAAGATAATAAGTAGTCTTTTTCTGGAACTTAACATCCTCGATCCCTGTCAATAATTATATTGGGTGACTAATAAAATATGATGCCAGGCATTTTTTAAATCTTTATCTTCCTCCTCTGTCTCATTAGCAAAATGAATAGGTTTGCACCACAGGCACCACCTAATCTGGAGATTCAATGTTGTTCAAGGACATAGCAAATAAATTTCAGCAGGTATTCTTTCCTGAAACAGTCAGATATAAAATACACTTTTACAGCATTTGCCCATTGCCATCCTAAAATTTCTTGTTGCCAAATAAGACTATTGCCATTGTAAAAGCCACCAAAGGCTGGAAGACCAAAAAGGGCCACTACAACTGTCAATTCTGATCTCCTAACTAGGAGAATTTTATGCAGTTGTCCCATCAAAGATTACACTCCTCATAGTGCTCCAATGACTAGTATTTGATCCACGGAACATGGCACTCATCCATTCCACCAGTGGTCTATCAGAAAATGCTGACACCATGAGAACAGGTTATTTTATAACATAAGACAATACTTATTTTCAGAAACTGGACTCAGCTCTAGCAGGCCTTTTAACAGAAATCATGCCCGCAATGTGAAATTAGCTAATTTGTTCTTCAGAGTTTAATTTCCTTTCTCAAGTAGATATTACATTACAGTAATTACACCTCTAAGTAACAAAAAAAAAAAAAAAGGCAGGCTCCTCAATCCTTGGGATGATATATAGTGCTCTAGCCCTCATATAAAAGCGAAAGCCATCTCTAGTTACTTTTAACATTTGGGAATATCTAAGTATTTGAATGGAAGACTCCAGAGATTTCATATTATCTCGAAGGTGGGAGGATAGAACAAGGAATAGGCTGTGAATCATCCAACTCTTTAAAACATTTTCTTCCTAATTTTAGGTCCTGTAAGCCATACATTAAACTCAAATTATACCCACTCTGCCAGTGATTGCAACTGCAGAGATGCTCCATGCTGAATACTCAATCCACGTCTATGTTACAAGGCATGTATGTGATATTGGACCATATTTTATATATGGTGTGTCAATCCAACTCCCTGCTCCTTGCAGAAGTACCTGAAACTAAACTGTATGACTAAGAGCAATGTCCAGATGCTCCCTGAACTCTGACAGGCTTGGTGCCATGACCACTTCCCTGGGGACCCCGTTCCAGTGATCAACCACCCTCTCAGTGAAGAACCTTTTCCCAACATCCAATCTGAACTTCCCCTGACAGTCTCATTCCCTTCTGTAAGGCACCCCTTTGATAGTCACTATCACACTGTGCCTGTTTGGTTTTTTTTCCCATTTTATTGAGTTGTAGCCCTCAGCCTGGGCAAGAGGAAAGGTCAATCTACACAACATACAGAAAAGCATGTGGCTGTCCTACAAAACTTCCAAATCCAAGGTTTGTCTAGAGACTGCTGTCTACACACTTCTCTGTCAATCACTTTTTTCACTTCTACCAATCCTGACTTGTGTAGAGAGGTTGTTGCCAAGGTCTGCGTCTTGAAAGCCAGGTTACACTTAAAAAGAAGGCTGAAAAAACCACAAGAGAAACTATCTCATAAAAGTCAGTCCTTTTCCCTGAAGCCATCTCAAACAAGACAGACACTTATCAGATATTGAAAGACATAGTTGTATCTTCCTGTGTTCCTTGGGACACCTGGCACATCTCAAAGTACATTCAGACTAAGTACAAACAGAGATTGTACTTTGCCTGTTCCCTGGGGCAGGCTGTCAGGGCCCTGAATGTCCCAATAGGTCCCTGACCAGCTCCACTGGGACCCTTCACCTATGCCCCATCTACCTACTGACCTCTGGGCAGGTGGTAGAAATTAGCCACATCCATCTAAAAAGCTCCTCACCCTGTCTGGTCCCCACTGAACGTGCTGGGGAACAGAATTACTCTGGGCATGGGATAGTTGCAGAAGCCTTCAGGGCTGTGATCTGCCTCTGTGGCTGGGCTTAGCATCCTCCAGGTTTCAAAAGTTATCCTGGAGCTGTGAGAAAGTTCTTGGGTGTACATCTCTATAGGTACTGTAATTGTAAATGAGGGACATGCCAGTCTACATTCCCATTAAAAAAAAAAAAAGTCCAATATACAGTTTAAGAGTGGGGGAGGTGGGCATGAATCAGCTGCTATGATGTCCTGGCATTTCCCTTTTCCCTGATCTCAGAAAGCTGGGGATGCCACCAGCTATGTTAGAAATGTTTCAGCTACACTCTCTGCCCCATCTTCTGCCTGGAAGAAGACAGTCTTGTCAAACAGCATTGATACCTGAAAGTCTCTTAACAGCCTGATATCTGAGGCTGCTTCCTAGATTTGAGAATTTGTGGAGGCACCTGAATCTAGGATAAGTCAACTATAAAAGCAGACCCTAATTCCCCCTCAGTGATGTGAATTTAGCATATGCCTCTGTGTATACACAGTGCCACCATCTTAATCTGTCTCAGGTTTTCCTATATTATAGACAGAGGTGTGCAAGCATGGCTACAAATTCTTCACGACAATGCCTCTATTCCCTGGCCTGTCTGTTTGCCCTTTCCTCAGTAAATCTCATCCATGGCCTGGATTAAGTCCTCCCAAACCCTCTCAGTGTCAGTTGAACCCTACACATAGAAAAGGCACAGATCTCTTGGTCTTTCAATGGAGCAGTGCAGAGAGAAAAGTCTCCCCACATTACTGGCTTTCAAGTTACATCTTGCACTTGTTGAACATCAGGTGTCCTCTTTTCCTGACCAGGTGCACCCTGCTCTCCTACAAGCTGCTAATGGCTGATATGAGAGGAGTGGGACAACTCCCAGGCTTATTCACACAAGGTTGAAAGTGTCAATAGTCATCCTTTCATTGCCATGAGTGTATAATAATGGTCACTGACCCCATTTCTCATCAAAGGTGTGGTCATGCATGGCTCCACCTGTAATAACTACAACATGACAGAGGAGTGCATCTTATCCCTGGCTGAAGGAGATGATCATACCTTTGGCCTTGCTATGGGTGTCCTTCAGCTTTATTACCTCTCACCAGTTTCCCCCTATTTTCCACATGTTCCATGTTGATATGGCTGCTGTAATCAGGCCTTCCCAGAATTATGGACTCACCCTTTAAAGAAAAAAAGCATAAAGGTCCCTATAGGCCATTATGTCATGAGTTCAGAACTGATTGTAAGCTTAGCTCACCACAGTATCCTGGCTCTGCATCATACATAGCAGGATAGAAGGCTGTAGAGTTTTTAGAGAAGCACAGAGACAAGGAATTTCTCCAATGTGAAAGCAGGTACACCATTCCTACATTCATTCTTCTATGAAGCATATGCCCTACAAACTGGTTACTGATAACCTAACAGAATCTAGTTTTTCTATTTTCAGTACCACTAGGATTATAAAGATGTCATCTCTTTGAGACAGATGATTTTTTGTTTCTAAATCATCTTATTCTGTGAGTAATCACTTATTTAAACTGTACAGATAGTAAAAAGTCAACAATGCTTCATAGGATATATTCATACTGTTTTACATCCTGTGTGTTGATACCTCAAAATTTATTTGCTTTTACAGAAACAATATTTTTTACATTGTTGTTAATTTGCCAATAACTAAACCTACACCATAAGAGTAGATTAAAAGTCATTATTAGGCACAAGAGATAACATGGATACAAAGGGGTCACTTCGTCCTGAATAGTAAAAACAACCAACCATAGGAAATAACTCTGCAGTTTGTAGTCACTGCTGAAGTATTGCACAGGAGGTAGTTTTCTTTGAAGTACCGGTAGTGCTGCACAGCATATGACAGAGTTTGACTATTTATGAAGCCACGTGTGCACTGAATATTGTTTCTGCAGCCTGACAGCTCATCTCCCTACATCACACTGTGTCCTGTCATCCCTGGGGGTGTCTAAGGGCCATTACTCTGGGTATACACTGACCTGATAACATCAGCATCTTTAAATCCTAGCTCACAGCATGCTTTGCTCCATTTGTATGGAACAAAGAATTAGCATAATGAGGGTATAATTTCAGACCAATTTGCTGTCTCATTGTGTAGTAAGAAAACAATCAACCTTTCCCAGATAGGCCTTCTCCCTGTTCAGCTCTGTTACCAAAGTTACATTTAGTTTGGAATGCATTCAGGCTGCTAGCAAACCTGTGAGGGAATTCCTTATTGAGAATTGCTCTTGTCCTAAATAACACTATAGGCTATGGCAGACATTTGGATTTTCTGTGGGAGTGGCAGGGATAGCACCGCAGTGACCTCATCCTCTTCCCAAGTTCTCTTCACTGCTCAGCAAAACACCCTAGTGAAATACAGTCTTTGATGGCTGAAATGCCAGCTCCCATATTCAGCTCCATCTCCCCACAGCAGGATCTACTGGTACACCCTTCTAGCCTTCATATTTTCTCATCATACCTTGAGTCATACCAGGTGTGAGGGAACATTAGCTTTCCTGTCAAACAGCTCTGAAGGAAGCCTCTGATTCCTCCTCTATGGCCTAAAGCACCTTACAGAATACCTGAATCAAAACCTGTTTTGTCTATTAAATTTCTGAAATTTATCACATAGTTTGGCACTTGTGAAGTAATCCTGCAGCAGACACTGGGCAACTCCAAAGTTCCCTACATCTAATTGATTTTTGTATTACTGCAGGCTAATAATCTCCAGAGAGCCTCTGAAAAACCCAAGTGAGCATTTCATCTGAGCAATTTGTAGAAGAACTCAAGCAAACACCTCTCAGGCTGTAGTGCTGATCTGGTCCAGCTTAGTTCTTGTTCCATTTATTCCAGCTACCCCTCAGCAGCACGGACACAGCAGTGCATGGCCAGACAGATATGGGGAAAATAACCTGGCAAAAATAAAAAATTTAATCAGAATGAATTCTCTGAGTCAGTTCATTCTGTGCCCACACATCAGAAGGAACGACGTAACTGAGCAGAGGGAGCTATTCCAGCCACCACTGTTACAAGAGGGAAAGGCTTGTGAGCTACATCACACACACAGAGCAATCACAAATATGTTCTTCTGTTTGGCCAATGCCATTTGTAGTAGTGACAGTGATAGAAAATGTGAGAAACTATATGCTCTGTGCACACACAATCCTCCTAAAGGATTCATGAGTCAAGAAATGACTATAAACCATAATTTTCAGATAGTTCTTCCTGCCCTGTGATATGGAATAAGAAATGCTTATGCACAACATCAGCAGGACAAGTTTATGGCACTTTTTTGGCAGAATTTGTTTAGAGGTTCACTCATACAATAGATTTTAAAGTGTATATTTTCAAATCATTAAATGAATTTGTATATCATATGAATACTTATCCATAATGTGTGTTTGTGTATTTATATATCTATTTTATGTGTGCGTGCTTATTTTTATCTATATTTAAAGTTCTCCAAAATATAGTTACCCTGACATACTACTAAAATAAGCTTGTACAGAAGACAGCATTGCATAGTGTCCTCTGTAGAATTTCTTTACAAGAGACAGAATATATACTAATTTGTATCCTAAATTCATTTTAACCAAGGTATGGGTATTACCTTTTCTCTCTTTTTTTTTTTTACAAAATCAGTGTTCATTGAGTTTTCTGAAAATAGTATTTTTGCCTCTACAAAGAAGCAGCAACTTATATTATTCTTTCATATGAGTTTGTGTGTGTATGTATATGAACAAAAGAAAAATATAGTTTAATTACAGTTGGAGTGCCTCTTCGGCTTATCATTTTATTATGCAGTTTATATTTTATTTTCTTAAAAGGAACATTACAGTTTGTGCCCCAAACAAACTCTTTACTTTAAAATGGAGGAAATATTTAAATGGCTGCTTGAATTAAATACAAGAACAAATAAATTAAAGTGTTATAAACTGAAAAAAATATTACAGACAAATCTGAAATATACATAAACTAAAGCATTACCTTAGTTATCTTCCCCTGTTAGATGTGTCATTGCTTGCACAAAGTCATGTACTCCAAATCAATGTCTTCACTTATGCTACACTCTGGAAAAAAAAATGGGAGTTTTGACTACATAGAAATATAATAAGAACTTCACAATGTGACCTATAGTTTTTACTGAAGTAAATTAATGGATGGCATGCAGATGCCAAGATTAAACAGAGTAATAACAAAACATTAGTAAGCACTTTTAGTGTAATTAAATTTTTGATGTATTGCAATTTTTAGCACGTAATTATTTTTGAAGGAACTGGAGAGTAGTACTGGATCACACCCTTATTCCACCTAGTTACTAAAGAATAAAGTGTGGTGATATTTTTAAATTCTATTGCAGAATAATGGTGTATTGTCCATCACTGATAATGATGGCAAGGTTTTCCTCATCTGATAATCACTCATAGTGATTACCTAATAAAAGGACAATCCTTGGTACTATAAGAACCTCTGGTCAGTCCAGAATGTAAGCAAGAATTGAAATGTGCTATATAAAGCATCTCAGCTTGTAAGTGACCTTGAATCTGCTTCCTTATTGCTGGAGGTTGGGATTGTTCCATGGCTACATTCCCAGTCTTCATCAAGGGGTTGCTGGTAACATCAATCTTAAACACAAGTCTTTAAAACTATTTTTGATGTTGGCCTTGAACAAGTCTAATAATTTCACTTAATCACCTCTGTTTTCACACAAAAACTGGAATCTAGGCTGACTTCTAATTTTTCACTCTTGTGAAATGCAGCCACAGGTTTTCTGTCTGCCATCAAATATCTGGAATCACAATTAGATAAAATATGTCAGATGCCCTGTGACACTCAGCCATCTTTATTGTATAGAAGTTCACTTTCAGCTTAGAGTAGAATAAATTTTGTTTGACTCAGAGGTCAGTCTTTGGGAAGAAAAATGAGACATGTGGTCATTTGCATATTCAAATATGCAAAGTGAATGCATCCAATTTGCATTATTTGTCTCCTAATGAGAATGACCTTTCTGCTGATGGGAAAAAACAATTGAAATTGGGCATGTGAAACTTATGGAAGAATGTGAAGTTCCAAATCTCTAACAAAACAGGCCAACTGCTTGCTCCTGTGAATTAATAAACAGTCAGTGTTGTATTGAACCCCAAATCCTGGTGTTCTTTCATCTTTAGGGACACCCAGGTTAGGTTCAGTATCTGAATTTTGCTGCTCAGATGTATCTCTAGTAACACTTCTTGCCTGGCACAACTTCCTCTTCACCATCATTTACCAAGAACATCTAAACAGTTCTCCCACCACTAACGTGGCTCAGGTTAATGCCACAACATCTTTATAATTATTTTGCATAACAAAAATTGAAGCCTTAAAATTCAAATAATGGGTGACTGTTACTACAGCAGGGCTGAAACTCAGTTACATCTGGTCTTTGGTCCTGTGTAGATCAAGTTTCTGTCAATACTGAAACTGAAACGGAAAGAATCCACGATCAATTTACCAAAAAAGGAGCATTAGGATCACATAGCCTGTGTTGTTTTACTTCTGTGAATGCCAGAGAAGGAAATGAGTCCTGCAAATAGGCAGCTCCTCTGTAAACTGGTATCATCATCACTATTGCCGTGTATTACTATACATTAATTACCTTTTCTACTAGGAAAAGAAATATGTATATATATATATATGGTCAAATTACCAGTATGCTTCTCTTCCATTCAAGCTTCCTCTTTCATGTGCAGAGCTCACCAAGGCAGTAACATCTGCACACAGGTAACAGGTCTTAGAAGTGGAACCACTCACACGCAGGACTCAGGACTAACTAAAGAGCTTGGAATTTAAACAAACATCTTGACACGGCTTAGAAGCAAGGGCACAGTTGTTTATTCTTGTTGTTGTTTCCTTTTCATTATGGTGCTGCAGGAGTCCCCCATTAGGGATCAGGGCCTCACATTGTGAGGATTTATTTAAACATTTAATGAAAATATGGCACCTGCAGTTAAGAATTTACAACTGCAATTAAAGGATGAAGAATAAAACTGTCTCTTCAATTGATTTCTGTAATCATAAAATTCTAAATGATACTAACATGTACCTCATTTTAAGTGTGTGTTTTCCTATGATTATGTACAGGAACAGGATGCAGTAAGCTTAACACTGCCACTCGGGAAAAGCACCCAGACAAATGTGGGTTGTCCTAAAAACAGACACCTTACCTTTGCCACCAGCAAGCAAGGAAGAAATTTTCAGAGAAAAAGAAAATTCAAGCTGTACAGAACCAGCCAACTCCCTAGGCATGCATATACAGTTGTGTAGAGCTTTGTTCTTAATGTCAACTTACTTGTTAGCATGCTTTTTTCTTTTTCAAGAAAATTATTCAGGAGAGCAAAAAAGACAAACTTTCATTACAAACAATGTAATTAAACTAAAAGGGTTTTAGTAATTGTTCCTGTTTTCACCTGTGTTTCAAAACCTAATTCATACTGGGCACAGGTGCAAGTGATTACACATTGGGCAACAGAAGGATCAGCTGTAGTTGTTGAATAATGAATTCTCCTTTAAAGCAGCATGGAAAATAACTGTCCTTCCAGCAGGCTGTCTTGACACAGTAATTTCTGTAATCTGCTAATGGTGTGGTTTCATAACTGATTTAGGGTGATCTTAGCCTGTACTGCTACTGGAAGGAGCAGTTCTCTTCCCTTTCCCACAACTAGCTACCTCTTTCTGTAGCTGAATCAAAAATGAACCCAGTCCAATTAAAAAGCTTCTCAGGTTTATTCGGATAAAATCTTGGATTTAGTGGACTGTGACAAGAGTCCTGCAGTCAGCATGAAGAAGGATGAGGAAATGCATTACTGGACAAATGCATGGTAGGTTGAGGTTGACCTAAAGTAGCTGCAAAACTGCAGTTTGGAAAGATGACAATTACTCAAAAGAGATGTCAGCAGGCGTAGGAGTAGATTAGGGTGGGATCTGGTGTCAGATACATGCTGGGCAGAAGTTGTGTAAACATGGGGTTACTTAAGGTCATGGTTTTGTTTTGCTGCCTTGTCCTTTGCACACAAGTCACCTAACCAGGTATCTGCAAGGCAATTGCCTGCAGCTAAGCCAGTCATGCAAGGCTGCCTTTTAACCATTGAGTTATGGAGTCTAAGGCACTGACCATCTTGATTCAGAAGCCCCAGACGAGTTTTTTTTCTCTATAAATCATTATTTCTCTCCATTTGACTATAAACAGAGAGCAAGGTGACTGCTGTAGATGTGCCCAAACTAAGGAAGATCTCTATCTTGTCTGTCAGGCTTAAATCAGTGTGGCTATTTCGAAGTACTCTGAGAGAATGGTCTGTAACTAGAATGGGGCAGGCACACTCCACTGCTGCACTCTGCTTGTGGTCAGGTAAGTAGAGCTCCTGAACAGGAACTGTATATGAAATTTATACTGTATTATACATAATAACATAATGCATTAGAGGAAGTGAGATTAAGATGTAGAATGGCAACCAATATGTATAAATTGATCACATAGTTTCAGCACAAGTTACCAGATCCAAAGCTTGCTGTCATCCTGGAAAGACCTGCAAAGACTGCATTCTATTTGACTCAGACACGGATCATATTTTTGCACGTTTAACAAAGCCTTCAGGAAAAACTTTTAAGGTTTTTTTTTAAGCAGTAAGACTATTGTTAACAGCTAGGAGCACCTCACTGAATTGAGAAACCTGCTGGAAGTTGTCCCTGAGGGCAATCACCTCAGATTCTGTATAAAAAAGACAGTGTTAGCAGTGGGATGAACAGTAACACTGCACTGGACTACTGGTGCAACTGCTCCTGTGTCAGTGGCACAGCACTTACTCTTGCCAGTGTTTCCACTTTTGCAGATAAATGGCCAGGTAAAAGGTGATTTTAACAAAGTAACAGTAACTGTTTATTTTAGGAAATTTGTCGAATTCAACCATTCACAGGTATTTACTCTGGACTGTCACTCCTATCTCCAAGTATTCTTTTTCTAAAGTTGCCTTGTCAGAATCAAAGAAATAGCTAATAACAAATAATCTTCAGGGAACAGAATTACAACTGGTATATTAAAGCAAAGCAATTAAGAACAAAGGAGAAGGAACAGAGAGAAAAGGAAATGTCCCTTGGTATGTGTTTACAGCTTTTTTGATGAAAACTGCCTTATAAATGGAAATACAAGTGTTCCTTAGATAAGGTCAGTGCTTAGCACATAGTTAAGTCTCCCAGAGACATTTCTTGGCACAGAAGCTTTGATTATATAAATTTCATGCAGGAAATGCAAAGTGCTGTAATGTGAGACTTTGATCAATGGTACTATTTTGATTTACAATTGTGTTTTTTTTAAACTGTGATGTGCACAAAACACTAATTTAAAAGCTCATTTTAGTTGCAACCTACCTTTTCCTTTTAATAACCATAAAGTAATGAGATTGCATTTTTTCAGTCATCCTTGTGTCACGTATCAGATAATCTCCTTATAGTTTAAAACTAAAAATGCTAATGGATTGGGGAAATGGGTTTCTGCTTTCACTCAGCATATCTGTCTTTTTTATGCTTGTCTTTTGGATCATTTATCTAAATAATAACCTTTAGTACCCACTCCTTCCTTCCAATGAACTAAAAGATATTAATGATTAAAATCAGTGAAAACATCTTCTCCCTGCTCGAGTTTTGCCATCTGAGGTTTCCACTTTCAGCTGCTTCTTTTTTTGGAGGGGAGGGGGGGAGCTACAGACATCCCCTTTTGAGATATTCATATGGTTACTTCCTATTTTTTCTCAATCAAACAGCCTAAATTATTTTAAAGTAATGTAGATCTCTCTTAATGAGTGTCACCAGTGAGCACGGACTGAAGGGACATTGATTTAGGGGAATAAAAGAGAACAATTACATGAAAACCTCAAAAAACAGTTTTTGGTCAGCAAATCTGTTGGGGCAGCCCCAGAAAAGAGGTAGTAATAAGCCCCTCAAGGGTAGGTGCTGTGGGTGGCAACTTTTCAGCAGACAAATCTGGAGATATAGGAGGATATATTTGTGTCTCAGAATTATGGAAGATAACTCATTTTGTTGTTACAAAAGCAGCACAGAGAAGATAAAAGAGCAGCCCAAGATCAGGTACAAAGACGGTGGTAACTGTGGGAGAAAGTCCCAGACATTTTTCTAGACTCTTTGTGTAGTTGGTTTTCATCAGGTCTCACTTCATCTGTTTAAAGACCAAGATTTCAGAAATTGCTTAGCACATAGACCCTGGGGGGGGGGGGGGAAACAAACCACCCCAAAACAAAAAACACCAAGATTCTAAGCAACAGGGATGTATCTTCAAAACACTAAGGAAATTGCTTTCATCATCTACCAATATCTCCTGAAATAGGACTGAAGTACATCTGAGAGCCAACAACTTTGTACTGCCTTGAGACTCTGGAAAATGTTTTCCAGAGGAAAAGTATCCTTCCACAGACAATCTTTCCCAGCAGACCAAATTTCAGTTCTGCTGATCCCAGTGGTGACAGTATGACATGGAGGGAAGCAGTACCTCAAGTATGTGCTGTGCTAGAGACTCACAGCAGAGTCTTCAGGTAACTTGCACTGTTCTGAGGCTCTCACTGACTGCAATAAATTCATTCTGGCATGAAATTTTTAGTCTGCAGAGCCAAAAAAGGCTTTGGATTTAAAGCCATATTCTTACATGAATCAGGCTATTTTCTCGATTGATAAGAACAAAGAACAACCTTTATGAGCTCAGTCTTTCTGGTGCTGCTTTGATACTTCCTGTGGTGATGAACACTCTCAATAGCTGCAAATTACAAAAGAGCCAGAAGCTACCTATGTGCATTATGTAGCCACTAAATCACATTTTCATGGCATGTGGGAGGTGACCAGGAGACAATAGCAGACAGCAATTGTATTCCACTCATTCTGCTGAGGGGTGAGAAATAATAATCCCTGAATATAATTTAATAGGAAAGGAAATCTGTTAACAAAGATTATCTCAGCAGGAAGCAACAATTCTATACGAACTCTCATTTCCAGTGAATTGTGCCATTATGCTCAATTTCACTGTAAATGTGAAACCTGCCCTTGTGGCTTGTTCTCTGCTGGGGGATCACTGTCAAAACAAGGAACAATACAAAATGTTCCCTCGATTCTGAATTCCTATTTGGTAAGTGATGCCCATATGATGCGGAGACCTAAATGTGAAATGTGTAAAATGGAAACTGTGTTTCCTCCCTTTTCTGATATTTAGACAACATAGGAAATTTGGAAGAGTCATTGGCAGGAGTTTCTAATTTATTCACATTTTAGATCCTAAGAAGAATGTATTTACCAGGTACTCGAAGTCAAATTGGTAAATATAAAATAATAAACCACGATATTCTGAGATAGTCTCTAAAATATTTGTTGTATTTGTTTTGATATGGCATCATTAGATTTGAATGCAGGATTGGTTTATTAGC